GAGGTCTAAGGGTCCCATCTAGAAAGTCATTATATCCAAAATGTTTTCTCGAAAGTACCGTATATTGAGCCTCCTATCCGTGCAGCAAAAGGCTGCCTACAGCTGCTGCTCTCGCTGTTCCCCTGTGCGGCTGCCCACCTGTGTGCTTTTCTGGTCTCCACACCTCGACCTTGTTTTCTGTTTGTTGTGGCCCTTCAATTGTGGGCATAACTGTTTCTCTGGATATTGTTGGTCTTCATGTAGAAACCTCCCAGAGTAGTTTCTCTCTATTCTCAGTACCAGGAAATGTTAGGCTTTTCTTTAGAGACATGTGGTAGTTATGTAGTCTGGTGCATTAAGAGTGAAGGGATGGAGTCTGGTCTGTCAATCGGGTCAAAGCCAAGGGAGCCTCTATGTTGGCATGGCCTTTCCCGCAGGATTCCGAGAACTCCTGTATTTGCTCCTTGGAGGCGGGAGACACACTCTGTCTCTGCTCACTCTCTTGGAAACTCGCTACTGACAAGCCTCACTCCCCAAGAGACGCTCTACTGGCAAGACACTTGGTGCTACTCCCTGGGAGCTGGAGAAGCCACAGGAAACTACCCTGATGCAACCAGACCTGTGGAGCCGGAGAAGCTCCATAGAGACCCCTGCCAGCACTGGGATGCTTCCAACGCCACTGGACCCACGAGACTTCCAACCCACTGGCCTGTGATCCTCCTGCATTTGGCATCGCTGCATGTATTTCATGAGTCGGAAGAGGACTTTATAGATTGGTTTTGAACATATGGGCTAATATTGACTTATGGACTTGATCTGGACTGGGCTGGGACGTTTTCTCAATATTCAATTGCTCTTGTATACAGACCTCTTTCTTATATACATATTGCACATTTATGAATTTGTTTCTCTATAAGACTCCCTCCTCCCCTCCATCATGTAACTGACCACTGGTGGAGCAAGATGAGTGGTCTGCTCCGGCGACACGGGCCTGCTGTGAGGCAGAATTACTCCGTGGCAGTGGATTTGGTTTTAGGTTGTGTAGAAACTGGAATCCCTAGTAGGTACACTTTTTCCTCTCTGTCCAACTCGATAGCAGGCATCTTTTTGAACTAGCCTTATAGCTGGCTTTCTCTTATCGTTTCCACTTTCACTTTTCTTTTATTTTATCTTCCTCTCTGGCTGTGTTTAATTTCATTTTATCTTGTTATGCTTTCTGTGCTTAGTCCAGCCTGAATAAGTCGGTGTAGATATGCATACTCCAGTGACTTCTTAATATCTTTTAAGCCCAAATCTGTGCACCAACACTGACCCCTAACTAAATCCTAGGATTTTGCTTCTGTTTGTGGTCTACTACAGCATTTAAATTTCTGGCCATCCCATCCCACATACTCAGACGGCATTTTTTTTCTGTTCCCTCGCGGATCCAATTACATCAAGCTCTCATTATCTGGATTCCTCTCATCAGTAGACCTCTTCTGCCCATACAAACAGCTGCCCTCTTGACTGTGTGGCTGAATCAAAAGGAGGTCCCAGCAGACAGAAAACACTGCGGAACAAGCCTGAGGAGGCCACAGGAAAGAGCCTGGGTTTGTGCATGGGGCCTGCAACACTATCAGCTCTCAATAGTCTTGCTTTGTAAATGAGTAAGGAGCTCTGGTGGTGTCGTTACACATTGGGTTGCTAACTGCGGTCAGTAGTTCGAAACCGCCACTGGCACCACGGAAGAGAAGCGAGGCTGTACTACTCCTGTAAAGAGTTGTCTCAGAAACTCACGGGCCGGCCGCTCTGTCCGCCAGACTAGCTCTGAGTAATACACCCGATGGCAGTGAGTGACCTGGGTGAGCCTCGGGAAAGCCACGGCAGCACTAGGTAACCCTGAATTAAAAGGTTATCTTCTACTGGTTCTGTTTTGATTTCTTTTAGGAATAAGAATCTTCTTATGGGCAAAATGTTGAAGTGGGTGATGGTATTGTTTCTCACAGTCGTTTTATTTCAAATAGTTGTCTTCATGACCTCAGCACCGGATTATCTCCACAGCTCTTCCAGCTGTTACTAACTTCACACATCCCTGGAAAATGGGGTTGCTGTTGTTAGTGGCCCTGGGCTGCCTGCTCGGGCACTTTCTTCGTGATCTGGGGCATGCTCAAGTCCGTTCTTGCAGCTACTATGTACTTGGATACCTTGCAAGTACAGAGGGACGCGTCTTCCTGCATGACAGTACACACGCTTGTGATGGTCCGTTGGGCTTTTACCAGCTTCTGTTTAGAAATAGATCGCCAGGCCTTTCTTCCCAGCCTGTCTCTGTCTGAAGCTACGCTAGGGCCTATCCATCATGGGTGACCCTGCTAGGGTTTGGAAATATTAATAGCATTGTTCTAGACATCATAACGTGCATGTCCCCGCAATGACAAACAGCTAGAAGGGTGGCAGCCCTGGGACACAGAAGTTTGATAAACATTTGCTTGATGGATGACTAAATGTGTGAACAAACGAATAAACAAGTACATTCATTGAATCCTTAGAACTGCTTAAAGACTTAGGTAAAGCAGTGGGATTTCCCACATTTCAAATGAGAAAACTGAGGCCAACTGTCGGAATGCCTGGGATGTAGGACTGAGATGCTTGATACTCTGACCTCTCGTGCAGTATTAATTGCTATATCTGGGGAAATATTTAATAATTAATAGCGTGTGCATAATATACACCCATTCCTCACTTATTGACTATCTGGTTATCCGATATTTCCTATTTATGACAATAGTAAATGATCAGTCCGACTATTTCATGCACTAACCTTGTCCATCTGGCTGTAACAAACCCCAGGGTTCAAAGCAAGAGGAATTCGCTCTGTGATGGTTATGGTTGTGGTTATGGTTATGGTTATGGTTGTGGTTATGGTTATGGTTGTCTGTCTACTTGGCTGGGTCCTGGTTCTCAGTGGTTGGGCAGTTATGGAATGATGTGATTTGGGAGGTGGGTAATGATGGGGTTTGGGGATGCAGACAGCCTCCACTTTCACAGACCATGCTGAGAAGCCAGGGTGATGCCAGGCCTCGATGAAGTCATGCTTAAAAACATGAAGTTGTATGATCCATCTCCATTTCTTTCTAGGCAGAGATTTGTCCCTTTTCTCTTTGAAAATGTCTCCATTTTCACTCTGTTTCCATTCATTCCATTGACATTCACCGTAGGTTCCTACACTTACTTGGCCTACCCCCTCCTATTCTGAAAAATTAAAATAGTTAGCAACTCATGTCAATTTGTGCGCACTGATGTTGAAGAAGACAAAACGAATTAGTTAAATGATAACTAAATAAGAAATCATTCATGAATTTTTAAATGTTAGTTTCTTTTTTATCTAACGCAATTAGAACCATCAATGTTATTTAACCCGCTCATTCCCTCAAGGGCTAGGTTCAATGTGACTGAGATTGAGACGCTCACAGATTTTCGTGAGCACACCAGAGCAGTGAACCAAGCAGACTTGCCGCAATTACTTCTAAGAGAATCTTCAAGAACCGATGATGTGTAGGGAAGCAGCTCTATTTTCATATATAGAAGTATTACCTCTGCCCCTCATTTCAATTGAGAAATGATTAGCTGTTAAATTATATGATGTGGATCATTAGAAACCATTAGATACATGTAGTAATTACTGATGTTATATGCTATGGGAGGGGCTATTTTCATTGTTATACCTGTGAAGAGTTTTGATAATATATATTCAAATGATGACATATCATATATTCATTTTGTGCAACCAGAATTACAATGTTCGACTGTATCACTTGGCTTAACAGTCACTGCTGAAGTTCACATTGTAGATGAAATATAGTCCCTACGTTTCCTATTCTCTTTTAATATGTGCGTTCATATTAATAGCATTATTTAATACAATGCTTCAAAATTATATTGCACTTTGAATTGCATTTAGTAAGAAATTGACATCACATGTGTGTATAATCATGGATTTCGTATTATGGTAAGGAGCCTTCAGTCTGTTGGCTGACACACAATATTTGAGGATCCTAGCATGTCCAAAGCTAGGCGCTGAGATTGAAAAGTGGGTCTCAGATGTTATATTAATTTGTGAGTTTCAACTTACGACCTACCGGCTTTAGGGAATTTCTTGGGTGGTTCCAGCCTAGCATTGTGTTTCCATTTGGAAGCTGCTGGATCCTTTCAGGTTGGGGTTTAGAACAAAATATTTGTGCCAGGCTACTGACTTGGTGGCAGGAGTCTCTCTCGTCACCTACGACTTACTCCAAAATGTAGTTCTACTGCATACTGTGAAACTGGAAAATCTGTTCTGTGTGTGTTCTAATGGATGTAACGGTCATTAAGTATATGAGTCTTCTGACGTTGTAATCAGATGTGATTCAGTCTGTTAAATATCCATGAAACAACATCTGCTTCACGGAGTGACCTTCTGCTAAAGAATACTTAGCGTCTATTAGTGGATCATAGTGCAGATCTGCCTTATTTGAAATGCACTAAACTAGAGTAGTCGACTGCTGTTTAGCAACTAGCTTGTAATAATTTATTGCAGTTAAATAAAGCTTAAAAAAACTCCATTAAATAATTATAGGGATTATATGCATTTCGAAAACCTTTGTGTTCCACCAAAATTACCCATTTAATTTCAGGGTTGGTTTGTTAAAAAAAGCTGAAATCTAAAGGCACATTAGGGGAGCTGTCAGATGCTGTTTTCTGTAGGTGTTAATAAAACCAGATGAAAAAAAAAATCTTAAACAAATTAAAACCAAGAGCAATTTTGCCATCTGTTGTATATTAATTAGAACTTTGTGTATCAAGGGTAAACCTGCTCTTAGAGAATGTCACTGAACACCCGCTAATAGAATAATATGCAAATGTATTAGGCTATGGATTTATATGCAGTTGCTAATTCTAATTTATCTACCGCGGCTTCCCCAAGAAATTGGTCGTGTGTGTAGATAGGTACGTACACTGTCATAGATCCATAATGAGTTTTCTTTCTTTCTTTCTTCTTTTTCCAGAGCAACCTGCAAACAATCAAGGCCAATCCACCCTGCAGCCTTTGCCACCTTCCCATAAGCAGCACTCTGCACAGCATCATCCCTCCATCACTTCTCTCAACAGAAACTCCCTGACCAATAGAAGGAACCAGAGTCCGGCCCCGCCGGCTGCTTTGCCCGCCGAGCTGCAAACCACACCCGAGTCCGTCCAGCTGCAGGACAGCTGGGTCCTTGGCAGTAATGTACCACTGGAAAGCAGGTAATAACCACAGCCCCCCAACCCCCTCTATGAGGCATTCAAATCCTTTGATTGTGAGGACCACGCGATGTACCTGCACAGAGCAGACCTGTTCTAGAATGGTCAGTAAGCCGCATTTTAAAACATCTGAACTTTAAAGTAAAACTCACTGCCATCAGGTCGGTTCTGACAGGACAGAGTAGAAGTGCCCCTGGCCATTTCTGAGACTATAGCTCTTTATGGGCGTAGAGAGCATCCTCTTTGTCTCCGGGAGTGGCTGGTGGTTTCGAACTGCTGAACTTAAGGTGAGCAGCCCAGGGCTCTTCGAAAGTTAAACTAGCCCGGCACTTTGCTCCCTGTGGCACCGTTGCCATCCTTGTATACCCTGTCTTTTGTTTGCGCCAAGAACCCTTCCCAGATTTCGGGTAGTTCCTAGTTTCTGGTCCAGTGTACTTTCCCTTGTTTTCATCGCCTACAAGAGATGAGAACAGATTCCTAGCATGAACCTTTCCTTCTTCTATAAGTTTTGCTTATCTACAAGTTACCAGGCATGTGGGAGAAAGGATCGAGATGTGACATTTGATCCTTGACGCCGAGAATCTGGTTAGCATCCCCTTGTTTCTCCTTACTTACCTTCATAACGATATTTGGTGCATTCCATCATAAAGTCACAGTGTATTCCCAAGTGTCGATGGCTGAGCACAGATCAGATGACCGTCTGCTAGCGATCTTTTAGAGCATCCTGCGCTGTGAGCGATCTGAAGCCCACCTTCTAAAACGCTCGCTCCACGATTTCCTAAGATATCCCATTGCTTTGTCGTTCTAGTAGGAACCTTACCCTGTGATTAACTGAAGTCTCACCCCTGACACCTCCGTTTTCTGGTTATAAACATATACCTGCTCACCTGGGAGCTGGAGCCGCCCGGAGCAAGTTTGCCCCTATTTCTGTGTGATGGTCCACGGACTCACCTCAGTCTTCTCCTTGAGAGGCTTCCCAGCTGATGCCCTTTTGGTACACGTACTGGCTTTCTGGCTGAGCTCTGGAAGGATGACTTCTGACATAGGCCGGCCTACACGTACGAATCCGCTCATCTAAAAATAAGGATCAGGAGAAGCAGTCGTGTTGCTTATCCATTTTAGTACTGGGTGTCTCCAACATTCACAACAGGCACAAACATGTTCACCTTCTTCCTTTGGCCAGCAGCTCAGCAGCCCAGTGTCTCCTCTGCCTTCTGTATGTCAAAGGTATGGTGTCCTACTTTATTGGTCTCCTCTTGGCTGCTAGGCAGGAATGTTCTCCGAATAACACCGTTATTGTGTATTGCCTCCCTGCCCTAAGCTTCCAGTAGTCCCAGAGAAAAAGAATCATCACCACATAAAAACTGGAAAATAGAGCATAGTGGACCCCTTGGGAGAATGGCCCCCCAAAGGTTGTACCCAGAAGAGCTCATGGCTAACTTCCACATTCATATGTGCTTCTGGACGAGGCCACTGCCCCACAATGAATCAATTACTCTTTCAGCCATTAGGCGTGCGATCTAAACCAATTCTGCCGGGAGGATGAACTATAGCAGGAGGCCTCACAGTGGGTTGTCAACAATAAAAATCCTCTGTCTTTTCTTTTCCTTTTGACCTAAGAACAAGATTC